TTTTTCTGGAATTACAGTTTCAGTTTACACACTTCCCTTAATCTTTCGGAGTACTAGATCACTGCATAGAGTAGTGCTCTGGTGAAGGATCTCAGGGGTACAAACCCTGATCAGCCCGCGTGTTACACAGTGAAGAGCAAACAAGAGTTCTGGCATCTGAGCAAGCAGGAGAAATGGGGCAAACAAAGTGACCTATAAAAAAGGAATCACAATCTCTTGGTTGAAATCTTACAAACCTTTCAAGGGTATGGCACAAAGTAGTGCTACAATATTCAGTTCTCAGAACTGGACGAGAGCAAGGGAAATAGAAACTGCCCCATGAGGAACACACTTGATAGGCTTCACAGTATAAGCTGATTAATGCTGAACGACTGGGAGAACTCAGTTCAAATAATTGCAGTATCCTAGAACGTTGCTGCCCTGGAAGTCCCAAGCCCTGCGCCATGCATTTCCAGTCTCCAGGGGACAGCATAATAACAAGTTATATGCTGCTTACACATCTCAGCCTGATGTGCCTGTGCAGTGTTGTAACCCACATGGCAGCTCCAGGGCTCACACAGTTTGAACCCCTCGGAGCTGAGGTCAGTCTCCCTGAGTAGTGACTCCCTGACTTCATCTTTCCTTCAGTTTCCAACCCTAGGCCATGCAAATAGCTTGGCATAAAAGAATACAGAAACCTCTAACAGGTTTACGGGCAGTTTTCCAGCTCTGGCAACTATCTCCACTTAAAGTTCATAAGCAAAACTCTGTTTTGTGTGTGTTCCTACTCCCTTGCAAATTGTGCTGCCAGAGCTGTTGGTGCTGCAGACAGACCGATTGACAGCTTAGCCTCCAGCCAGAATTCTCATTCAAAGCAATATCAAATTCTGGGTAATAAAGTTTGCCTGAAATTTCTACCTGCAACAATTCCCCAAGGTGCTGAACTGCATGATACTGACTTACACAATACATCATTTTAGCAGTAGAGTTAAACACAATGCAAAGCAAGATTCAGTTTGATTTCTTTCCTTGTGATCGTAGGCATTATACCACCTCTGATAGCTGTGAGCCATTACTTCCATTATTTTGTAGTACATAAACATCAAATACTAAATTTTCTTCAACAAGTGTTTCAATCAAATCAAATGTTTAAATGCAGACTTTAGAAAAAAATTTCAACTGTAAAACTAAAAAAATTAAAAAAAGAATGGCTTTAGGTGAAACATTGTAAGTATGTGAAACATTGAAAGGGATTGCTTCAGTATTATTGAAACTCTTTTAAATGTATTAAAAATGAAGTGTTAGAATGGGAACGTTTCCGTAGGCAATTGATTGGGATGAAAACCCATTTTCTAATTTAAAAAGATTCCACTGAAAATTTTTCCAATTGCATTTTCTAGTGGCCAATTTTTCAATGACATTTCCCCGAGTACAATTTACAACTGAAAATTTTGCAGCAGACTCTTAAAGGAGAGAAGTAGTAGTTCTCCAATAATACATTCTGAAACGTGGTTATTAGCCGATGCTTTACACCTTTTTAAGAAGAAGTAGCATAGCTAATACAGGGCAATGGACTTTAACTGCTTTCTAACTTAAAATACAAATTGCTGACTTCAATTAACAACCTTGAGTGATCTGATTTTAACGTGGATTGATTGACAAATGTTGCTTACCTGAGATAGAGATCCAGGACTGGGATCCAGCTGTGTGTGTCAGGCAGCTTGGTCTGAACTCTGGTATCCAAGGATGGCAACCAGTTCAAACTTGGGTCTGCAGGTGGAATTTTTCTCTTTATTAGAATGAGTAAGAGAATTTATCTGAATTTCAGAGGTATCTGCACATCATTATTGATCACAAATCTTACACCAAGTGCTGTCTAACAATACAAAACCACCCAAAGAATAATCCAACATAAAACTTACCACACCTTTACACTTTGATGAGAGCAGGCTGAGAATCTGCTTTGGCTTGAGTTGTGATACTGTTTACCACATTTACAACATTCCTAATTGCCATTTTGTTTTCTTCATCACTGCTTCCAGTTTTTCAATCATAGAATCACTGCTGAAGCTGGCTACCCCCATGTAGACATTTCTGTATGTGATGAGGAGCCCAGGTTTGTACCTATTGGATGTGTATGTGAGGAGAGAAGTGGTTGGTACCTAAGACAATACCTCACAGTGAGACTTAGCAGAATGAGAAATATCGCAACGATCTACAGCCCTAGTTCCAAGTTTGCACTGCAAATCTGTCAGTTCAGGACTTGCAATCTGCACCAGTTCCAACTCTCTGACATTTAGGGAAATTCATGGCCTCTTTTCAATCCTGTAGATTTGAATGTATTTCAAAAGATGCAAAGGTTAATTTCTTCCAGCTTAGATGGACAGCATTTGGATCTAGATCAGAAGCACCTCCTTGGGTAGTGTAAATGACAATGGCTGCTTTTGCTTTGTTGCAGTCCTGCAATTCATACTCCAGCTATAGATTTGTTCTTTGAGCTCACATCCAGAAGTCAAGGGAGAATATAGTTTTCAGTCCTTGTCCACTGAGTCAGAAAGATGAGGATCATGCAGACCACAGCACACAGCTCTATCAGTGAACTTCACTTAATAGAGTCTCATTGCTTTGCATCACATGAGTAGACAGCCACAATGCCTTATAGTATCTGCAGAGCTAGGAATTTATGGGAGATGTACTCAGATACCAAAAAGAACAGTCTGTTCCATGTATTCATTCCTCTCTTGTTTCACAGAAATAATTAGATCTCTTCTGTTCTCTGCCTCAATCTCTTGTTCCACTTTTCCCATAAGGTGGTTTAGCTGTCCTAAACTACAGATCTAAAAGCTAAATGCTAAAGGCCAGGTTAATTCTCTAGTTTCTTTCTATAGTCCTTTAAAAACAAATACAACAGCCAGTTCAGAGGGCAGTTCATCTCATCCTTAGATAGCCATCTACCTAAGTTAGACAAATAGGTCTTTAGAGGTGTATCTCCATTTACTGTAAAGGGAACCTCCTTTAGACTTTGGCACGTACCTTTCCTGTGTCTAAGTTAAGTGAGATAAATCACATCCACAGCTGTTGTCTGTGTAAAGAGGGCTCAGAAATAAAGCTATGGTCAGAGATCACTGCAGAAACAACCATGGCAGCCTGAGATATCCCCTGCCCCACGAGCCATCTGTTCCAGCCATTCCACCAGGTGTTCCTGATCCCTGTGGCACAGCTGGTGGGACATGGACATCCTATGAGTTCTGCGTGGTGAGCAGTCAGCTGGTTGCTCCTGAAGGGACCTGAAGCTGACCTGGCTGAACTTTTTACTGAAGCAGATGAGAATTGTTCCTAGAGACCTGCCCATCCTCTGCCGTGGACTCAGGAACTATGACAACAGGGGCAGTAACAAACCACAGGCAGCTGTTACACAAGGTTGCATTATCAGGACAAGAGGAACAAATGCAAAACACTCCTGGAAGGTTTAGCTTTTCCAGCAGATAATTTCTTATTTCTGCTTGAGCTACACAGGATCTCTGAAGAATCATCCAATTTGTTCTATATATACCCCAACTGGTTGTTATTCTTTGCCCTGGAGGGAGATGCAAATTGTGTGTGCAGCCTGTACTTGCAAAGAGATTGCAAATAGTGGTGTCCCCCGCTTGCACAGTCCAAACAGATGGCACTGGGCAGGTAAAGAGCTATTCTCTGAGAAATACTAGCTATGAACAGTCTTTCAAACATTAATAATTTGAGAAACACAGCAGCAGAAATTAGATGTAAAGTGACATAAATGACTTCTAGAAGATACCATTAGTTAAAAAATGATGTGCATAAAAGAGCAGAAAAAGCACAATCACACAAGGCAACATGAACTGACCCAGCCTAGCCGAGAGACACCCACAGCATCAGAAGCTCATTGCAAACACAACGTAACAGGTAATTTAGTGAGGGCAACCAGATGTTTTGCTTGGATGCTGTTTGTGTTTTTATTGCCAGCTGCTGTATTCCAACCTGCAGCACCAAGGTGGGGGACTGGGGATGAACACAGTAGCAAAGGTAAATTTGTTTTTAAATGCATCTTAAAAGGGAGGGCTATGGCAAGGAATGAAGAGTCTAAGGATAACGAGATGTACAACTCTTCATCTGTAGGTCACTTCTTATTGCATTTCAGATCAGCAGTCGTGCAAGTCATTATTATCTGGTCAGTTTTATTGAACCAATTTGGCAGTCTCAATACAGTGTCTAATGCATAGAGGAAAAACTTTGAAAGACTGAAGAGATTTAGGAGTCTAAGTCCCGCTCATTATCAGTGGAACTTCAACTCTCTGAGGAGTTAAGTGCTTTTGAAAATGGAATGTGGTCTTCTAAGTCACATCCACACTTCTGAAAATATTAGCCTACTTGGCCACAGCACAGTGTGATGCTTGCTGGTCTCCTTGCTGTCAATCATGGCAGAGAGGTCAAGGACTGAGTGGCTCACAGCAATTACTGGCTTATGAAATTCTCCTTTTCTTCTTCTCAGAACAGTCCCTCCTGTTGAGAGCAGGCATGCTGGCAGGAGATGATGTTGTAGAGAAATATAGATTTCAGTGGTGAAACAGAGAAACCTGTTTTCTGGAGAAGGCACTGTGGTATTTTCCCCAAGTAAATGTCTAAAACTGAGAGATGTACAAATGAGTATAGTGCGGAGGCAGGAATCCACTAAATGAAACATTGGCAGATCTGGGAAGATCTGATGTGCCACTGGGACAGTGGAATCTATTTTCCTGTAAGTGCCAGGACTACAGAAGAAACCTGCACAACTGTTAAATAAACCCAGGGTTTAAATAGGAAGGGAAAACTGTCATTTTTAGTTAATGCCGGGAATAATAGGTATTTTATTCTCTTCTGATTAAAGTGGTTATGCAGACACAAGCTACAGACCTGCTGTGGCCACCAGTGGTAGTGTTGCTGTTGCTACCAACCTGCCTTCATCTTCCTTGATTGGATACGTTCAGAATCTCACCACAGGGTGTGTGCGGGGCACATCTCAATTCCATATCCTTTAGCCCAATCCCCATGTTTTAATTTATTCCTCTTAAATTCTACTTATCTGGTCTCATCAGAAGTTTTTCAATGAGCCAAATGAGATCCATAGTTTTAACATAATAAATTACCCCAAGCTCCCTCTCAAGATCTTTGTCCTTCTCACATGTTAAACAGCTGCTGTTCCTTAAGAGATGCTGGTGAGCCAGAAGCTGTGGTGGGGCTGTGGTTTGACCCACATCCTAGATCCCCAGCACCTGAGACACTGGCTATTCAACACAGCTCCAATTCTATTCCATAGATGCATTCCCCCAGCAGGAAGTCCCCAACCAGCAGGGGTGAAACAGGAGTGAGCACTGGGCACCTAACCAGAGAATTCTGTGAGCCCCTGCTCCACCTGGCTATGTCCTTTTGTCACCAAAGAGCTCCAGTTTACTTATTGGTTTTTATAGCTGATCTTCATCTATCCAAATGGTTTTGCGCTGCTCTTCTCCGATCCTGTCTTTTATTGTTCGGATGAGATCTTCAATACTGCTCCATGCATCGGCCTCTACAGAGGCATAAAGACATGGCAGTGCTTCCAGTTCTTTCTCCTTCAGACGGCACATACGTAAAAACTCATCCTCAGTCTCTGGCTTTGGCAATAGTTTCCTGTATCACATGAACAGACCAAAGGTAAGCGTCTTACATTTTAAGTTAATCCTGTAGTCCCCCATGTCCCATCAAGAATTTATTTCCTACTGACTATACAAGCAATAAAAGCAGTGCAGAATACAGTTACTCCAGGTCTATCCTCCTTTTACCTCCACTCTGCTCCCAAGGAGAAATATTTGCTATGGGGAAACAATTTATAAGGAGTGAATGTAGGGAGAGCGCAAGTGTTTACGACCTTTCCTCTTCCAGCTAGCATTACCTTGAGAAATGCTGTGGGAGTGCTGAGCATGGAGAAAATCACATATTCTTCAGTCTTATCCTCCCACAGTGCTTACTGCTATCAGTGGCAGAGAAAGAATGCTTGATTTGGGGAATTCCTGCTTTCTCAGGTTGTAAGATTTCAGGGAGGAGTCATGGGACAAAATAGTGCACACACAAGCACCAGACGAAGAGAGAAGAGGTTCTTTACTTCTCTTAGTAAGAACATTATTGGACTCGAGAATTATTCACTGAATAAGACAGAATATCAAATATGCAAAAGGTTTGGTATGTTACCTGAACCTCTTGATGTTTTTCTCTGAGACTCTGATAAAAAGAACAATAGGATATATCTTGGCTTTGATTAAATCCTTTGTGCAGCTTATTCCAGCTTCCAGGAGGCAATGCTTGTTCTAAAAACAAAGTCACAACAGTGTCACAAAGGAACATTCGCTGCTGTGGAATCTCGAGATAAAGGTATCCATACCTTATGGGGTCAGCTGAAAAGCTCTTCATTTACCACTGTACTGATTTAAACCTTTTAATCAAATATACATTTAAAGTCCAAAGTCTTCCTAGATGTTTAAAACTAGTCAGTCAAATAACAGCTGAGCTTAATAGGTTTCTGAAAAGGTTTAAAATAGAAACGGATTGATCTAGGGATGAAGAGTATGATCAAATACCAGTTTTGCATAGATACACAAACACACATACTTGCCCTTTATTCAGAGAGAACATCTACTGCAACTGGTTGTGAGAGAAAAAACCATCACTTTAATTCTCCTTTTTCCATGCTGTGCATCAAATGCACTCTACTGCATACAAGATCTGTGTCTTTGACATTGTTATCTTTGTACAGTACAGCCTTGTGTCTGTGTTTCAGGCTATCCTTTCTTTTGTCCAGGCCCTTGTATCTCTTACTCTTTCACACATTCATATATACTTACGATATGAAAAGGAAATGAATACGGGATAAAGCATAGAAAATGAAAGGATATTTTGCTGCATCAATGTGGGTCATCACAGGGAATGGGTGAGAATATAAAAGGATGTGGCTGAGGATGAAAAAGAAAAGGAAAAGCAAGAGCACAAATAAAAGCCATCTGGGGGGATAAATACAAATCTGAGATTGAAGGAGGGCAAGAGGGAGAATATGCAATGTGAATTGGTCAGTCTCTTATTGAAGAAGAAAACATACACTGCAGAATGCGTCACAGACAGCTTGCTGAGGGGATACAGAGTACTCTAAGCACCTTGGCAGTGACAGCCTCAATATTGGCAGGTACGATACATTCATATGTGTTCAGATTCTTTTCCCTGCTGAAGATGATAGTCTCCATTCTTTGCTTCCTTAAAAACTCTTCCTTTGTTACAATATCTGGAAAGAGACGGGACAAAATCAAGATGACAACACCAGAACACCTAGGAAACTATCCTATAGTGTTTCACATAGGGTGTAAGGATGGTTCAGGGAAAGAAGAGCAATGAATTGTCTTAGCAGCTGCCTCATTTCTTCCACTGAATTCAATTAAAGCCTAATCTGATCATAGCTGAGCATCCCAGCTATATCCTGCACCAGTGAGTCCTTGGGCAATTACTACAACACTATGAAGGCATTAAATTAAAACAGTAAATACAATTCCCATGCCTAATGTTATTTAGGAACATTTCAGGGCTGGATGATGGTGAGAAGTGCTAAAAAAAGAAGGTCTCTTCGGTATAGGCTCCAAACCCAAGGATTTAGTGTTCCAACATTTGTGTTTAAAGTTACAAAAAAATTTGGCTTAGGTTGCAATGTTTGGTACTGGCCCTCTTGTGAATTGCAGTTCTACATCAAAGCTTTTGTTTTATATTGCAAGACAGCGGATATTTATTACAATACTTAACTTTTCAGTTTGGGTAACTGCAAGACTGCAATACTATGCGGTGGGTATTCAGTATTAGTGTAAAAATGAAACGTCAGCTATGTTTAATGCTGTGTTGTATACAATCCTGCCCTACAGCAATCACAGTACTGCATATTGCTTTAATGGTAAATACTTAGCATGGAAGAAAAGCAGGTTTTTGAGTAGATCAAATGCACAATCTTTAGAGCCTTGAATGAGAGAGAAATGTAAAGTCGCTCTAGGGAAGATATTCCTCATAATAGCAAATACTAGAAACAAATTAATCAAAATTTCACATTGCCTAGATATGCAGTATGCAAACAGTATGCAAACAGAAAGAGCACTCATAGCATTTCAGTCTCTGAGGGGCATCCTAGCAACCACACAGCATACACATGGATAATATTCACAGACACAGAATCTCATAACCATGTGCACTGGCTGTCTCACAAACATTCAAATATCTCAGATATTCTCAAAAAGCAGGATTTACAGCTACACATCACTCTGATGTGACTTAAAGTACCTCAAGCAATTACATGTGCATGCCCCTACGTGTGTTCACATATATATGTTCATATTTCTAACACTGAGGGTTAACAGTCATGGTCCTCTTTTATCCCATTACCTGGTTTGCATATGTTGAATTCCAGGGCACCTCCAGAGTTGAGAAGCTTCTGCACCAAGGTCTTAGCAAGCATGGTAGGGGTGAAAAGTACAGGGCGCCTGCGCTCACAGTGGATTGGTCTCACCAAGCTATAAGGGATGAGACTGAGCCTCTTATTGATTTCATTTTCAGAATCCAAATCTGAATAAAGAACAAGACATTTATCCTCTGGTTTCCTCTCCATCAGTATTTGGAGAAAAAGAAGGAGAAACACATGAAGCAGAAATGACATGCTTAGTCATACTGATCCTCCTTTCCCTTTTGCCAGGGTTCTCTACATACAGTAGTATGATGTCCAACCTAATACTAAATAATTCAATTACCTTTTGCTTTCAAGAGATTATTTCATAGTTCAACTTGCTTAGAGAATCTTTCTGCTTATTAGGTTGACTTATTTGAGTTAAATGCTTTCAGACAAAGAGCAAGAAAGCACCTAGGAAGAACTGCCAACCAAACAGGAAGTTTCAGTGTCCTAAACTTGCTCATGAAGTCTTAATGCTCCATTTTAGCAAAATCAGTTTTGGTCACAAATGCTGTTGAATTTTTGCACAGAGTGGCCGCAGATGCTAATAATAGGAAAGATCTATGATGTTTTTCATAGCCATGCTCTTATGCCAGCTTTTATATCAGTGCCATGTGTGTAAAGGCTATTACTATTTTATATCCATACCTTCCAGTTTCTCAGGCAAAACCTTCTTTGCTTCAGATGAGGTCCATGCCAGACCAGAGGGCCAGCCAGTGACGATACGGACTCGCTCATTGCTATTCATACGCTTGTATTTATTTTCAGACCTACTGACAAACTGAAAAGGTGAACAAAGAGATTTGACCCTCATTTCTTACATTATTTATTCTCCCATGTATTCATCAGCCCACACTTTTTATCTATGAGATCTGAATTACCTACACCTATTGAAGCCAAGACTCCCATGGATCTGTTGACTGAATTCTAAGACTCTTTAAATATCATAGATCTGATTCAGAGCCTTTGTTAATCCCCTTTGGGGTTTCTTATTTTGTTCTCTGCTCTTAAATGGCATGTTTTTTAACTCACAGAACTCCCTGCTACCACCAGTGCAAGCACTGATGTGTCCACAGCAGAGTAACATACCCACGCTGAGTATTTGCACCCATGTATCACAGGTTATACCCAAAACTCTGCCGCCTCTTTGCTGTTCCAGAAAGACCTAAACCCTCCCTAATGGCACATTTTCGCGCTGAGAAATAGGGTGCATGCTTTCATTTCTCATCCACCCAACTATTCCTCTATCCAAGTATAAATTCCTCCTCCTATATTTGCTAACCTTCACAACCATCGTCCTTCATAAGACTTTATCTTTCACCCACACAGTCTCTGTCATGCTCAGAGTCACTGACGTACAATTAAAGGACTATTTTCTGATGGAACCTTATCTCACAGAGCCTTGAGGATTTAGTCTAGCCCAATGGATTTTTCCTCGTGGTCAAGCAAAACACATTTCAGTCTCTGATGGCAGACATATGATTCATCCAGCTACATCAGAAATGGAAGGCATGCACTTAAACACCACACATCACAAGAGCACTTAGAAGACACAGTCCATTAATCTTTTTCATATATTAAATCTCTTTTTGATAGGAGTAAATCCTGATACAACCTCTATACCTGAAGGTGGGGTTTCTGGGGAAATCAGGACTGCCTGAGAATATCTGAACAAGAAGAACATGAGAAACATAAGAACATGAGAAACCTGAACGAGAAACTGAACATGAGCCGGCAGCATGCGCTCGTAGCCCAGGAAGCCAGCTGTAACCTGGGCTGCATCAAAAGAAGCGTGGCCAGCAGGTCAAAGGAAGTGATCCTGCCCCTCTACTCTGCTCTCGTGAGGCCCCACTTGGAGTATTGGGGACAGTTCTAGTGTCCTCAACATAAAAAGGACATGGAGCTGTCGGAGCAAGTCCAGAGGAGGCCACGAGGATGATCAGGGGCTGGAGCACCTCCCGTATGGAGACGGGCTGAGAAAGTTGGGGCTGTTCAGCTTGGAGAAGAGAAGCTGCGTGGAGACCTCAGAGCAGCTTTCAGTGTCTGAAGGGGGCCTACAAGGATGCTGGAGAGGGACTCTTCATCAGCGACAGTAGTGATAGGACAAGGTGTGATGAGTTTAAACTTAAACAGGGGAAGTTCAGGTTACATATAAGAAAGAAGTTCATTACTGTGAGGGTGGCGAGGTGCTGGCACAGGTTGCCCAGAGAAGTGGTAAATGCTCCATCCCTGGCAGTGTTCAAGGCCAGGTTGGACAGAGCCTTGGGTGACATGGTCTAGTGTGAGGTGTCCCTGCCCATGGCAGGGGGGTTGGAACTAGATGACCTTCAGGTCCTTTCCAACCTAAGCCGTTCTAGAATTCTTTGCTTCTACGATCTGCTGCTCAGATCCGCTATTTCAGACATTGCCCTGAGGATTTGGTCTTTATTACCTGTAATATTTGGCCCAGAAAAATGCTTGCTCTGGAGAGGCGAGGGCTGGCTTTTGGGTCGCTCTGTGGGGCAGGCTCCTCTGGCTGCAATGTATTCTAGTGAAAAACAACACAGGAATTTTTCTTTCCCTCCCTCTTTTTCTTTAATCTCATTCAAGAAACAGAACATTTAAGATTTTCAATAAAAGGGATAGTGATCAATTGATATCTGTCCCAAATACAATGTTCTAAGCAAACTGCAGACATAGCATCGCCTACACTGAGTAACTCCGCTTCTGTTACTGCTCTTCCACACTCCTTCCTTCACAGGAGACTGCTCTCCACAGCTGAAGAAAGAGGTAATTTCTGCAGCAAGAAGCAGCATGCAAAGCTTCTGCTTTAACTAGCATCTCTGCCAGTGATCTCTGTCCCTTTGATCCATGGGGACTAGGGTACAGAAGGAATGCATGATACTTAACTTTGACTGAAATCAAATATAAGCACTGACTACAGTGTCTGCACGTTTGTCTCCCAAGCTCTGAAAGTAACTTATGGTAACTAATACACCAGGAAGTCAGGTTTTAATTATGTAAATATGGAATTCTTGGGTCTAAAGAAAGAAAACTCAATTTACTTTCACTGAGGGAAAAAGAGAAATCAGCAAGGCTGTTGTGTGTGAAGACCTGATAATCCCACTTCTCTCCATAGCGTGTAGGCTGGAAAAGACAGGTGTATCTAATATGGGACAATGATAACTCTGTGGAGGAGATGCTTGTTCACAGTAGGAGAGAAATAATTCTGATTATTGATTTCAAGGATACAGCTTCTTCCTCATGTGGATATGAAGATGCATTAGAGGCTTACAGGCAGAGAAGAATGAAAAGGATTAACTATAACACAGAAGAGATATTAAACTTTTAAAGTGTACTCCCTCATAGCTGGAAGGGTTAATAGTGTGCCAGCACTAGGTCCTTAGCCAGGGATAATACTGTTTAAAGCAAATATAAGGTGCTCATTGCCTGACACAGTCAAAACCTACACAGAGTGGAAACAGGACTGTGTAAAATCAACATAATGAACAAGTAGCAGTGGAGGACCAGATGTTAAAAGACTTTGTTTGTAGCTACTTACCCGGAGTGCCCAAAGGGTGTTATGTGAGCTTTCTGTCTCATCTCTGCTTCCTCTGTGCATCAACCTCTGCAGCTTCACCAAAAGAAGTTGCTGGGCTCTGAAAGAGAGGATGGAATCGCATAGATCAAGATACCTTTGAAACCATTCAGAAGAAAGCTGGATTGCAATGGGTCTGTGCCTACAGAAAAGATTAAACAGAAATAGCAGCGAGGACTGACTGAACCACACAGTGACACAGTAACAAAATAATGAGCAGGACTGCGGTACGGTTTAGAATTAAAGACTCTCTGCAGCATATTTTCCTATGATACCTTTTGAGAAACACACATTATTCTTTCAGGTAACATCTGGAGTCTCCTGTCTGAAGCTTTATAGCTCATATTACAGTTTAACATCACCAGGCCTTACCTCAAAAAATTAAGACATATACCTCTTTCCTTGGAGCAGTTATTAAATTCCCTGTTTACAGAAACCACTGCTCTCAGCCATGGTCACTCAGCATTACACTGACCTGCTGTAGCTGGGAATGGTCCCCATCTCCAGGTCCCTGTCGGTGAACAGATCAACTCTGGCACAGAGCCACTCACACCTCCCCTGGTACATGGTGTCAAGAATATGAACAATCTCATCACATTTCACTGACAGGGAACAGCAGTCCAGCTGGCTGGAGATGTTCAGGTTCAAGCGGATATGAAATGAGTCCCCCGATGTGATCAGCCCTTCTTCCAGCTCCGACAGCAGTCTCCTGTAACCTGCAGCAGCGAACGAAGGGGTGAAGCATGATCACTAGTGGTCAAACCTCAGTATTGCTGCATCCCTGGGCATCCTCTGGGAGAAGCACACAGCACAAACTTCTGAGGCTCCCCTGAGACAGGGTTTATACTTCCAGAGTGCTTGTTACACTAGTTACCACAAAGTTATGGACCTGCACCTTAAAGACACTAATGGGGCATTGATTTAGAAACAGCTTATGCTGCTGCTATCAGAGTCTGTGAGAATTTTCTCATTATAATGCACTTTTATGTAACTCCATTTTCAGTCCTCCACATGACCTGTGAAACAGAGAACTTCTCATGAAAGATGCATACACAGCTATAGTTTCATCCTGTAAGTACAGCTTGAGCTCTGCCACCAAGTGTAATGACAAGCTATTCCCTATATTATTATTAGCTGTAATTGGCACTCCCATAATCAATAACGTGCTTTATCTGCAGTTGACTGGTGCTCAAAAATGCAATAGTGTTTCCCAGCTTTGAAAACATCAAAGAAAATCAAAGACATCACTTCCTGTGTGATCTATGGAGCTGAAATTCTCTAACCAGCATTAAAATAATAATAAAAAACAAACCCTGCAAATTCATATACGCCAGTAAAAAATGGATTTGGGAATGTAATTTTTGATCTATAACCTGAAATTATCATTACAGGCCATGAACACTAAAATCAAATTCTATTCAGCACACATGAACTCCAGCTGCTAAAGATAAAACTACAAAGGTAATAAACAGGGCAACTCCACCAGGTAAATGCTAAATCGATTTCAGCGGGATAAAGATCATTCAGCTCACCACATTGTGTTACAGAAAAAAGTATATAAAAATAAGCTTGAGTGTGTTTTGTGAGTCATGTCATTATTGGCCCACCACGGAAATTCTTGAGTCCTGTAGTGACAAGCATATGGGCTTTTTTTGTTCTCAGTCACAAAGGTAAAAGCTGGAGCAGTTACACAGAGTAGCTATAATTAACACCAGTGGGCATGCTTCAGTTTTATACCAATACAAAGGACATTCTGGTTCTGTCATTCTCATCCAGACAAGTTAGTATAATATACCTGGGACTACTGGAGATGAGAAACACTTTTGGTCTTACCTTCGTGATTTGATTTATACTGGAGTGTTACTGGACCACTGCACCTCTGAATTGTCCAGTGAACTTCTTCCTTTGTGCAAGTATCCAAGGGAACACTCTGATTTTCCCCTTTAATGCAGCCCTCCAACTAGATATAAAAGAAATATTACTCTCCAGTGCAGGTTCAATCTCTGAGTCAATTATACCATTTTTTTTTAAAGTGTCATAATCTTTTTCTGATACTTTGCTATCAGGATACAGATTCAACAATCCCAGGCTGCCCAGTAATAAACTGTGCAGAAATAGAAAATGTAGGGGGCTTTCCCCCTTGGAGGCATTTTAATAGGAAAATGGTTTGGGAACATTGGCAATGGAGAGAAAACTAACCAAAGAGCAACTTAGCAGAAGCACCTGCTTATGTCTTTTCAAAGGGGCTGTACTATACAATACAGCATTAAAGAAAGCATCGGTTGCTCTAATCTCTTCCATGCAGAGCTACTGTAAATTGCAAAAGTGTATGTGTTGGATGAGTGTAAATACTATTATCCCATATGTTCTCAGTCAATAGCAGATTTTCTTCTGCATTAGTCATATGCTTTGCTGCTAATATAAGACAGAAGAAGAAACAAAGCACTGTATGAGTGTGCATGCATGTAGGTGGACAGACATCTCATACTGTTGATTATTTTATGCTCACCAGTAGGATTTGGTGTCCCTCCCGAAGGCCTGCTTTCTCTGCAAGTGATCCTGTCTTAACAGAGCTAATAAAGCTCCCTTTAGCATTGCCCCCAACCAGAGTGATTTCTGAGTTGAGGTTGTCTCCATTCAGTGTTACACGCTGGACAGTGTGGCAGGAGTTTCTAATGCGACCAACTGATGTGACAGAGGGACGAAAAGGTCTGTGTTCATGAGAGGAAGTAACAGTCAGTTATCTCAGTTTTTAGCTACCACTCCAGAGTTAGATGCATGGATGATAAATGAGAGACATACAAATAAACTTTTAGTGTTATCAAGCACTAGGATTTAAGGACTCTAAAAGAAATCCCTCTCATTACTGCATAACTTCTAGAGAAGAGCATCTGGATAACTTAAAGTGCTCTGCCGTGACTCAATAACTCAGTTGTGTTAACAGTACCCAGCAACCTGTGGCAGCAAGATGCCAAGAGCACAAGGATAAATTTAAGCCTCTTAAACTGGCTTGAAGATTTTGAAATTTTAGGATGACCTTCACTGGTTTACAGGATATGAAAGGGCTCCAAAATATTGTTATACTGCTGTCAATATAAAGAAGTTGACTGCTTCCAACATAGGAGCAGAACTTATACTGCTGCCAATATAAAGACTACTTAGTACAGTATCATGAGAGTTTTGTATCAAATAACAACTTGTGACATCATATTCCTGCCATTGTATGTTCAGTCAGTAATAGATATGGAGGATCTCTATCTACCATAGCAGCTTTTCCCCATAGTCTCTGTCTAACGTAGGTAAACTGGCATCTCAAATACCTTTCCAGAGAGAACTTTCTAAATATGGAGCTGACATGCTCAAGCTCATAGGCATCCAGGCCTTCTGACTGATGAGAAGAAGAGGAAGAGTGCACCGAAGGAGCTCCATGTGACTGCCTGTCATGACTGTCATCTGAAAAGAGTAACAAGAATGAAAATGAGTCCTAGATAGAGTGACAATGATGGAAAAGGGGAAAATGAATGTTTGGTTGATGCCAGCCAAAGCTGAAGGAGGAAATTCCTTCTCCCACTTAGTTCTTCAGGAACTTTTTCATTCTCACCACTTTGTTTTCTTGTTATGATTTTTTGGCTTGATTTTTGTCTCAGACTATGCGTCCCATCTTATTTAGACCAGAAGTTGATGACCTGACAGTATCTGTAGGTGGTGAGCTAATCACATAGATCTCTCAGTCAAACTTTACACATCCTCTTGCTTACCGTCCAGCTCCAAAGCATCATATCCAAAGCTGTCGTTGTCCTCTTCAACCAGGCTGGAATTAAAAACAAAGCATGAGCTAATGGAAGAGAGAAAGCTGTTCACTTTCCAGCTTTTAGCAGATTTCCAGCTTCAGCAGATTTCATTAAGTTCTGAAGGAAGAACTTCTTCTGTGAAAAAGAAGGATGTTGGACATATTGATTCAGAGAATGGTGCAGCTGCAAGAAAATAAGCAAGTAACCTATTTGTGAGCCCAGGGAAGATGTAGGAAGGTGTCTGGAAGACACAGTATGTGTCGCCAACATGGGAACCGTGAAGCAGCAAGAAGGTTCAGAAGGAAGAATTGCAAACAGTGGCGAGGGAATGAAGATTTTGCTGAAGGCAAAGGGAAGCTGCTGACTGATGGTCTCATAGGTGTGACTTACACCACACCTGCTTCAGCACTGAGATAAATGGTTGCAATGTGTCTGCTGCAGATATATTGCAGCATGGTTTTTTTCCATGACAGATCAAAAATGTCAGCAGCTTACTGATGGACAGAGTGAATGCAAGGCAAGTGTCTGATGTGCAGTAGTAAAGGAGTAATTTACCTGCTTGATTTTAAGTACTTGAATCATTTTATAACAGCTTAATGGTACCTCGCATGGTTACTCAGATACCTACAGTAACAGAATGGCAAGCTTTTACACAAGAACCCTTATGCCACAGCTCTGGTCCAGCCCAGCTCCCACTGACACCACCTTTCCTGTTAAGGGTAACTAGATTGGTTGACCTTAAAAACAAATAGTTAAATCCACCAATATTTTGCTCTTAAGGGGGTACTGAGGATGCTCAGCCAAGTGAGTGAGCTGTCTACCTCACCAGGACTTCATTAAAGCACATCCTTTGGTTGCAAAGCTCTTTAAATAACAGCTTGTTTTTCCCATTCGGAATGATTTGTAGGTCTCCTGTGGAGCTGATATTTCTCATAGTTGGCTTCAGGTGAAGGGTGAATTTCTGCAGCCAGTCTGGGGAGAATCAGCTATTTTTATACCATGCATAAGCAGGGAAATAATAAACCTTTCCC